TAACAGTACCTATAGAGCTATCTCTTAACGAGTTCTCAACCAGCGTACGAATTGATATGAGTTGTTTTTGAGCTTTTTTAAAAACTTTTTACTAGATCGCCCTCAACTCGAATTTCAGCTCCTGGCCTTGGACACGCTAGAATTGAAAGGGAGACGAGATGCTATCTTCAAAGAAGAAACTCAGCTTGATCCTCTTGAAGTAGAAGACGATGTTCAGGTTTCATCTTCGGTCTCTTAGAACTTCCATTGATTCAATTTAGGCCAGAAAATGTAGTTACATTCATTTGCTCACCAGCAAATAGGACTGATAAGGTGCTGCAAACTTCCAAGAGCATAATCCAAGATTGTCATACGGGTAGAGCTACGCCCACAGTTAGCCCATAATCTCTTGCGACACTTTTATAGGCTGATAAGAAAGGGGGGTGCGAAACTGGGGAGACCACCATGATATTCCCGACTTCGCCCATAGGATGGTTGCATTATGTGTAGTTGAAGGACTTCAACTACTCCACTTCCATAGCACGGTTTATGAGTTGTCATCAAGTTCAGTTCATTCAGGAATGGCATCGAAAAGCAGCAGAAGCCGGTGACTTCGGCTTAGAACACGCGTTGGAAGACCTGCCGTCGCACGCGGAGTTGTAAGCTATTGCGGTCTTCATCTGCAGGATCTTGGCTCCTCCTACACAAAATATTTTTGAGCCTTAACAATTAATATATTTAAGCATGAAAGCGGTAATTTCACTGTTGATAGGATATGATGATTGTTCTCAGAGAGCACTGTAGTTACTTTGAATGAATCTCGTCCAGTGGCAATGCTTTTGTACCTCTTGCTAATGTATTTCCTAATGTCAATCGATAAATTGATTGCATTTCATGGTGGTTGAATGGATTAAAGGCACGGTCCGCGACCAGGTATAGAAGCTGAAAATATTGCATTTGGAGGCCCGCGACGAACTCTCTCGACCGGTTTGCTGCAAAAAAATCATAATGGAGGGGTCCAGTGACTCCGCCTCCAGACCCCACTTTCAAGGCCCGCTTTTCGGTGAAAGCGAAAGTGCCCTGCGGCAGTGCAGTGTACGATCGCAGAGTTCTTATCGGGGAAACAGCTGTGCAAATGAGGGCGTAATGTAGGAGATAGAGTTCTTTGCGCACGTACAAACTGGGATCGAAATGAGACTCTATCTAGGGCAGTATAGTTTTTTTGCTTTCTCTTCACCATCGTAGTTACTCAGAAACTTTGTGTCTATATAAAAACCTCTAGTCACTATCTCTGAATGGCGAATGATCGCCGATCAGAGAAGATACTCGAGAAACGGGACTGGCCTTGAGCCCTCATTCCACTTGAGAAAAAGGGACTGCCGAAAGGTTGAATAACCTTTCAGTGCGGGTGGATTCCCTTAATCACAAAGTTTGGCAAAACTTGTCTCTTGTCTTCTTTTTCTCCTGTGAAGGTTATAATCTGTATTGTTGTGTCGTTGACAAAGAAAGAGGAGCTGCCCACTTTGTGACTCGAGCATTTGAGACGATTTTAAATCAAGGGACTTTTCATCAGACTTGTGGGCGTACAGCCTAAATCGTTGGCCGCTGCTGTAGTTGTCGAAAGGAGGTTGAGTTGATCCTGAATGCAACTGAACGGTAGCTGCACCAATCTGAAGATTATCGCTGGATCCGAGTTGGTCGCAGTGGCGCTGCTAAGCGCGAAGTATGGAACGGAGTGCCTAGAGCGAGTTTCACGCCACTTGCATGTAGGGTTTCTTAGTCTTACGAATGGGTTCGCTTGAAACATTCTAAGTTAGGCCAACCTTCCCCCTGTCCCAGAGATTGTCTCCAGCACTTACTCCTTGTAGTTCATGATCCAGAAAATGGTCATATGAATGATCGATGCCATTAAAATTGTGGAATATGGGTCTGAAATTATCGTAGTTGCGTTCCCGAATTGTTAGAAAAACAGTTAGCATCTTAATTGATAAGCGATCTTGTTGTACGCAAATTGGCCACTCATGGTCTCCAATACGAAACTACAACGGCAGCTAATTACCAATTGCCCATCATAACGCTGGATCGAGGACCGCCTTTCTACAATGTCGAATAACTGTGTGCGTGAGTTATGATTTTGATTCCATTCATTAAGTCGCATTAGCACCCAAAAAGGGGGAGGGCGAGAGAATCGTAATATGCGCTCTGCCGCGCGCGGCCATAGACATTACCCACAGGCTCCGGACACACGTCTCACGGCGTTCTTAATTCGTTAACCTGTCGATTTGGAATATCCTTGTAACCTCGTCTTCCGCTAAACATTTGCATGACTATTATTCGCGGTTCTAAATTGCCTGTTGTCGCCACCTACACCTGGAACCATCGCCATTTGCGGGCGCGACGCAGCATGCGACGCCCACCAGCGCGGCGAATTACGATTCTCTTGTCACATACCCCCAAAATAGTATTTGAATGCTGACTTTTTATGACTTCTTTAGGAATTCATTAATGCAGTCAACCAAACCCCCTCATCAAGAACGTTTACGGCGCGCGCTTCGATCGAGAAAGGTTGGAGTACTGAAGTGAAATTTGTGAACTGGCGGCAGTTGAGTGGTTTTGCGCGTGATGGAGGACCCTTTCATATACCGTTATTAGTGAATGAAATAGCCAAAATAAAACCTCAGAGAAAAATGGCCGCGATTGTCACGCCACCCACTTTTGGGGCTAGCCCGTAAGGGGGGGCTAGGCTGTAACATTTTTTCCTGCCTCAAAAATTGTGCGCAAAATGAAATGTTTTGCGCATCGACTCTGGGTCCGAGTTCGTTAGGAATTTCATGCTTCATTAAGCACCATTTTGAAGATGGCACGATGTTATTGTTTTTTATGCTGTGTGAACGCCACTGTGTAAACGTTCCATTAACCCTTTTGTAATAAATCCCTCTATATAATAGTGGATCAAGAATGAGTTGAGAATGAGATAAGAATAGAATTAATGAGAATGGATTCCTAGACAAAACATTCAATTTTTCACAAAAACTTCACGGTGCAAAAAAGAGCATTTTTAGCGTGCCAACCCAAAACTGTCTTTGCTAGGGCAAAAACGCATTCAAGCTGTTGTGAGTAGAAATAGCACGGGAAATGGATCAGTTGGTTCGATTGGCTGCAGAAGCTGGGACGTGTTAGGTGGGCTGGGTTTAACGCGGCGCTTGCCCGCTTTCCACCATTTGCTATCGCTTATCCGCTTCAACAACTGGTGGAAAGCGGGCAAGCGCCGCGCCAAATCCAACCCTCTTGACATTCCCCAACATCCGCAGCGAACAAAACTGGTGCTCCGATTGAATACTCATCTCACCAGAGGTCCACTCGATACTCAAAAATGCAACGAGGTGAAATGAAATTTTAGGAGTTGAAGCATCAATATGAACTCCTAATTCGTTTCGAAGAAGAGACGTATGGTTTATGGGGGCTATATCAACAGGCTGTCGTCGGAAATATAAATGTTCCAAGTGAGTCATCTTCTTGGAATTCCAGAAATGAAGGTTTTTTCTCTGCTGGTAGGGCTTACTTTGTAGCATCGCTCCCGCTTGTTGCTAAGGTTCAGATTCAGGCTGGGCTTTCTTTGTTAATTTTACGTGCCACATAAGTAGATGGCAGTATGCCATTAGCACTCCGTTTCTTTGATATCTTTGCTATTCTTGGCTACCCTTAGTCCTGTAATGCGCTGGTTAACGACGGAACGAAATGAGCCTCAGCAGCCGCCACCACAGGAAGGAGAGTAACCAAGAACGCCAGCGGGCTAGGAACCGACTGATATTATCTGCTGAAAATTGTAATGAAGTCGTAAGAGGAAAGACAGTTATGGAGGTCCCACTAGATCGGGGAGGGAACAGATGAAGTTGCAGTCGCTATCGGTGCTTTACATGGAGGCTCTCCTGAGTACGTCCGTTTTAAGCCGCACTTCGCCAGCTCGTCTCCACCAGTCCACTTGCCGCTATGGGCTATTAGGTATCGATGGAATTAGACTGACTTACGCGGAATACTTAGTATGCACGTGGGAACGCCTCCTGATGCTCTGATAACAATGTACCCTGATGTCGCAGCATGCTTTTTTTCCTTCAGATACTGGTGAAGTGTTATTGTAAAGCGAGGTTGCAGTTTTGGCCTGGTGAGGTGGTCCCGATTCGATAACTGCTGATTGCTCCTGAGGGGTGCTCGTGAGTCCCGGACTTCGACGTAAAGCTATACAGTAGCAGAGGCTTCATTTGCACTCGAGAGTCCTCAGTTCTCACCAACATCAGTCGTGTAGGTAACGAGAACTCACAAGAAACTGGCGAATTGGTGCAAAAATGTCCTTCCCCCAAACGAACACGCCGCAATGCGGATAAGCAAATTAATGCATAGCCAGCGACGGACGAAATCCAGAAGTAGATTTCTGAAAGTGAAGTGAAAGTCAGTTTCCTTCAGAACTCGACTACATCGATCCAGTCGAAGAGTCGTGGATGTGGGGATGGATAAAAGGTAACGAGAAATGGCACGCATGGAATAAGTGCAAAGAGCGCAAAGTGAAATACAACTATATCTACCCAAACAGCGTGAAAGTTAATGGGTTAAGCAGATTTACCACGCTCGTTCAAAAAATGCCTTCGGTATGTTGACAAGCGGAATCGTAAATCACCGCGCTGGTGGCGTGCGTCGGGCGAACGCTCGCGCCTGCAATGACGTTTGTTTCCAGGTAGTAGAATGGCGACAGGGCACGTCCCAGAACCGAAAATAGTCATGAATCTCACGAAAAACGGGGTGTCTAACTGGAGTCTGAAGTGCTCCAGTGAATAGGTTAACCTACGATGAAGAGAACACCGCACACATCGCCGCCGCGCGCGCGGGCGGCAATTTAATGATTCTACTGCCCGTCTCACCGAAGCTGCTTATTAGAACCCGCCTTTTTTTCTCATGGAGAACGTTTAGATAAGTTCTTCTAAGAAAAACGAATTGTCACCCTTCTTCTTTTTTTCGAGTTCTGAGATTGGGTCTCCTCATTATACAATTCCTGTTGATCTGGCTCCTCGTTTTGTTCATAGTGCGTTTCTTATTAGTAATGGCGATTACTCAAATTTGTTTACATGTTGTGTTTGCTTTTTCTGCGCCTAATATTGACACGGCGTCCTTATTATCTAGCGCGATTTTCTGACGCATAAATAGACAAATAAAATAAAATAAACGAACAAATAAATTATGAAATGCGCAGTCAAAGCTAGCTCCAATCTGTTCCAACAGTCTTTCACAAGAGTTCATTTAGGTATGACCAAGAGTGAAGCTGTACAGGCTTACATTGAGGGAGTTCGCTCGTTGGAGAAACGCCTTCCAGATCTGGTAGAAGACTGGAAAGATGATCAAGACCCACGAATCCCGGATAGAAATCGCTATGTACCTGAGGACGAACGAGAGGAGATCGACCGTATCACTCGGGAGGGAAAATTGGCCAGACGGTAAATACAACATGTTTATTTCCCAGAATGACTTGAAATGTAATGGAAGTCTTTTACAGTGCGAGAGATGCAGAGCAACGAGCAAAAGAGGAAGCTTTAGGATGGTGGGACGAATAGGGTTGTGCTACATCTTCTGCACGGATAAACTGGACTTCACCCTCCCACCCCAAGATATAGCACTGATTTCTTATTTGATAATTGCTTTCATAAAGTAAATGGAAAGCCAGGAGAATAAAGATTCGTTGTCAGTAATCCTAGCTGTTTCCATTGCATTTCTGAACACCATAAGGATGGGCCCCAAAAGTGTTCGGTTCTTAATTGAATAAAAAAATAAGAAAAAAAATCAATAGCGCGTAGTAAATGGAAAAAAAGGCAGTTTGAAGGTCGCATCACCTATGAATGAGTCCTCACTCGTTTTTGGCCCGTGAAGCATAAACTCATGGTCATTGTAACGTTTTGCACGATTATGGACCACAATGTAAAAGTGTAGGACTCTTGAGAAGTCCGGAACAATTTTCTCGTCACTATCTAAAAATAGAATTTCAGAGGCGGAGGCTTTGTAGTGGTAAGTGGAACGGTTACCAAGCGCAAGCGCGCGGTCTGGTGTCGAATCTCGTACCGGATTCCGCCCAAATCAGCGAAGCCTTCTGCCCCCCCCCGGAGCAGGGCACGCATCGGCATTGTGAATCTTTCCTGAATTACCCCCCCCCCTCATGTCCATACTAAAATACGACCCGCCTTTTTGGGATTGTCGACCCCCTCCCAGCCCTCTGTTCCTTTGCTCAGTCGAAACCGAGCCGTCGGGGAGGGGGGGGGAGGTCGTCAGAATTAAACTATCATTTTCAAGTGTCGGAAATAGTAGTGCGTCCGTGAACTGACCAAATACGACCCCCCTCCCAAAAATGACCAAGTACGACCCCCCTCCCTCGCGGTCAAATACGACCCCCCCCTTGTGCTTGAAGCAAAAACGCATGCTACTTGGCCCACGGTAGTCGTTTCCTGTGAAGCCGTCGTCTTCGCTCAAATCCGATGTGATCTTCGTGCCTAGGCGTCAAAGCTCTCACTCTTTTCTTCCGGTTTTCACTTTATTTTGGCCAATCATTTTTGCCATTCCAGTAGGAGTTTCCCCTGCAATCAAGTATCTGAAGCAGTGCCCTTTCTCGTTTTAGGTTTGAGCGCTTGCCTAAAATCCTTGTCATCTTCTGATTGCCCTATATAGCGCTGGCTCTTATTATCTGGAAGATTTTATGGTAAATTTTTTCAGGAACCGCAAGCCCCTGCTTTTCCCTGAGGTGGGGTCGTATTTGGGCTGAGAAAAATTTATTTTGATAGTTGATTTTTCTCGCTTCACGGACGTTGTAAAGGGGGGGGGGTCGTACTTGCTCATTGTTGGGAGGGGGTCGTATTTACTTTCTGGCCTTTCTAGGAGTGGTGGGAGTGGTGGTTGACTTTTCGTGATTTTCCTGTTTCATGCGTACTATATACC